ACCACGACGGGAGTGCAAGAGGGCGAGAGCAGGCAAAACCACGCCCGGTTTTCAAGCGCACATGCAACTGCAGAAGCAGCACCAGCGTCACCACCACCAACACCATCACCATACCTGCAGCCGCAACACCATCAGCACTACCATTCCCACCAGCAGCAGCAGCAGCAGCGCGAGCAGAATACATTATCTGGATTGTCCTCCATCCCAACGAGCGTGTTGTAGAAGTGGATACGGTCCAGCATCCACCCGGGAAAAGGCCCGGGCCCCTGCCCCTTGGGCCTGAGGCGGCAGCACGAGCAACTGCTGCCACACGCACATGCAACTGCAGAAGCAGCACGAGAATAACCATCACCATCACCAATACCACCACCACCAGCACCGGCACCAGCACCGGCACCAGCACCACCATTACCACCAGTAGCACCAGCAGCATCAGCACGAGCAGAATAATACATTATCTGGTTTATCCTCCATCCCAACGAGCGTGTTGTAGAAGTGGATACGGTCCAGCATCCACCCGGGAAAAGGCCCGGGCCCCTGCCCCTTGGGCCTGAGGCGCGACCCCGAGGTTATGGCGCTCGTGTTGAGTGGCTGCCACAGACACACAGCACCGCAGAGCAGAGCAGAGCACAGCACACCACCACACAGCACCACACAGCACAGAGAGGAGACTTTAGGGGCTTATGAACCGTCCCACTTCATCCAGGACAGGCACGCAGCCCCTTAGGCGCGAACCCGAGACGCTGACACGGGGCAGAGAGGGGTTAAGAAAGCGAGGGAAGGAGTGAAAAGTAAGCACCTCAGGCTTCACCTGGTCGTTTGAATTGGGCACGGCAAACATGCCAGGCTGAACCTGAAACGCATGCACTTCAGTGAACTCTAAGAAGGCACATGCGCAGGAACCACCTTGTGCGATGTCTCAAAACACGCGCTTCCACTCACCTGGTCGTTAGTTTTGGGCACGGCGAACATGCCGGGCTGAACCTCAAAAGCGTGCACCTCGGTGAACTCGAGAGGGTACATGCGCAGGAACCACGTCACACTCGTGCTGAAGGCGTTTGCACCAAAGTCTATCAGCACACGCCGCGCGCTGGTGGGGAAGAGTAGGGCGCAATGGGGTGTGGTGAGGTGAGGTGTGGTGAGGTGGGGTGGAGTTGGGTGGGGTGATGTGGGGTTGAGTATGGTAAGCTTTTGTGAACTCCAGAGGGTACATGCGCAGGAAACATGTCACACTTGTGCTGAAGGCGTTCGCTCCAAAGTCTATGAGAACACGCCGCGGACTGAGAGATTGTGAGAGAGAAAACAGGGCACAGTGGAGTGTGGTGAGGTGAGGTGTGGTGGGGTGGGGTGGGGTGGGGTGACGTGGGGTTCAGTGTGGCATGCTTTGGTGGGTATGGTGAGAACGCCTAACCAGGGAATGGAACGAATGCCTGGAATTGTTTTCTCTACACGATTGTAAAGCTAGAATTCACGAAGAAGTAGATACTAGATTGGTGAGAATAGGGATAGAAGGAATAGGAGGAGAGGCAATAGGAGTTGCGGGGAGGTGAGGGGGTGCAAGGGACCCAGACCACACACTCGCATCTCTCCCTGCCCCCCCATTCCGTCCAGTTCCCCACCCTTCCTCTCCCTGTCCCTCCCCTCACCCACCCAACGGCGGTGCATGCAGGGACTAACGGCAGCGCATAGGTCCTCCTGTTTATTTCTTTAGCGCTAAAGACATCCAGATTTCGTAACAACCACAAGCCTGCAACCCCTTGTCCAACCCAACCAACCTGCGGTGCAAGCGGTGGTCGAGGGCAGTGCGGAGATATGGCAGCACGTGCGTCTTGTCCTCCTCATAGTCCACACAGCTTTAGAATGAGTTGGTGCCTCAAGAACCCACCTGCGGTGCAAGCGGTGGTCGAGAGCAGCGCGGAGATACGGCAGCACGTGCAGCTTGTACTCCTCGTAGTCCACATAGCCCAGAGCGAGCCCTACACCTCCACCCTTTACGCGCCCACCCACCTGCGGTGCAAGCGGTGGTCGAGAGCGGCACGGAGGTACGGCAGCACATGCAGCAGCTTGTCCTCCTCGTAGTCCACATAGCCCAGCGTGAACCCGCGCCCTCTCCTGCACTCGAGGGTCCCCTACCCCCTCCCGTCCCCTCACACCCCCGCCCACCTGCGGTGCAAGCGGTGGTCGAGGGCAGCGCGGAGGTAAGGCAGCACGTGCAGCTTGTCCTCCTCATAGTCCACATAGCCCAGCGTGAACCCGCGGCGGAAGTTTAGGTCTGGCTCCACTGCCTCTATAGGCAGACCCTGCACGCGACACGGGGCGAGGGGAGGCAGCCACTGCACGGGGAGAGGAGGGGAGGGGAAGACGCGGCAAGGGGGGGACGGGGAAGTCGACTAGCTGAGGTGCCTGAGAGTATAGATCGCCCCTCGATAGGCACGCCTTGCACCCGGGCGGGGGAGAAAGCAGCAGAGGGTGCAGCGGAATGAGCAGAAGCACAGGGAGAAGCAGAGGGAGCAGCGGAACGAGCAGCAGAACGAACAGCAGAGGGAGCAGCGGAACGAGCAGCAGAACGAACAGCAGAGGGAGCAGCGGAACGAGCAGCAGAACGAACAGCAGAGGGAGCAGCGGAACGAGCAGCGGAAAGGGCAGCAGGGAGCAGCAGGAGGAAGCTGACGCAGGTGGATAGATCTATCTATGGTCTCACAGCGACTCACAGGGCTCCATTTCCTCGTGTTGGGAATCCCACGCTCCTTCAACGGAACGTGAATCCAATCATTACACGCCGCTCCTTCCTCCCCTCCTCCTTCCCCGCCCTCCCCCCACGTCATCTGCACCTGCGAGACCTGCCCCGCAACAACCTGGTTCGGGTCGCCCGAGCCTCCTCCCACACCGAACCCCTGGCTGAGGGTCGGCAGCGAGGAAGGCGAGAGCATGAGCACGAGGAGGAGGAGGAAGGTGGTGAAAGCGGCCGCGGTAGCAACGACGGCCCATATGAGCAGGAACGAAGGACCCCTGCTGCTCATACCCATGCTTATGTGCATGCTGCTCTGCTGCTGCTGCTGCTGCTGCTGCTAATGGTGCCGCTGCTGCCGCGGGTATCGCCACCGGAAAGACAGCGAAACATAAAAAATGGGTATCGGGAGATGCCTCTTCAGAAGATGCTTGTTCAAAAGATGCTTGTTCAGAAGATGCTTGTTCGTCGAGAAATTAGGATTCACAGGACCGAGAAGGCTGCTGCTGTTGCTGCTGCTGTTCCTGATGCTGATGCTGTTTGCGCAAATGCTGCTTGCTGTAATTGCAGCTAATCTGGCGATAAGCGACAAAAAGTATGGACCTTCAAAGAATGGCAGAGGTTGGTGGTTTCGTGTGAAAATGGCCGATGCTGGTTCCGATTACGGACTGACTGATGCTCCAATTTCGCGCTTGCAAGCCAAGACCTCAATAGCGGATCGCAACCGCTTGGAATGCGCGAGCGGCCGACATGGCAAAGTGATGAATAATGCTTGTGACTATCTAATGCTTCCTGAAAGAAAGGCGATGCGGTAAGACGGCATACCAGCTCCGATGGTTGAATGGGTCAGGGCAGGGAGGATTCTGGATTTGAGATGGGGAGTGGATTTTTCGCTTCGGCTGAAGCTGGACTGGAAATGGTGTGTCGACAAGGTACACCTTACTCCTGAAGAAATACATGTCCAATACCCTACATTCATTAGGGTCTGGTCGAGATGGTCGAGGTAAAACTAGGCTGAAGACAATGCAAATAGTCTCAAAGATAAGAATTATTCCAATAATCACACAAGGATATCAAGGATGGAGATGTTTGCTCTTTCCCCTTCGCAACATTTATAAGGATGTCTATGTGGATAACCTTAGAAGCCACGCTAATAGTTCTACCGCCAGCGCTTATATTACACACAAGGTCAAACAGTGCAGTTTGAGTTCAGGTGTGCTTCACCAAACAAACCATGTCTCGTTCCAAACCTATTCAGCCACCTGACGTGGTCAGGTACGGTCAGCTTCGGACCTGTGGTTGATGAGTCTGGGAAATCCGTAAACCAACCGCAGACACCCCCGCGCCACATGAAATGGCCAGCCGACCAAACACCACTTCGCTCTCTGCCCAACCAACTTCGACACCTGTGAGCTTGCTCTGGCGAAGTTGCTTGGAGCATCCCTGAGCGACGACCCAAGCCATGGGGTTTGGTTTGGTGACCTGCGTGTTTCCCAAAGTCACACCTGTTCCCATCATTAACACCAAAGATTTCGATTCCTGCAGTGTTGTTGAGTACCTGTACTGCACTGGTTATGTCGGGCAGGAAAACATTCCTACCTAAGTACAGCAGCGTAAAAGAAAACGCGAGACACAGAAGTAAAGAAATCGCCAACACAGATTTCGGCCTGTCGCTGCCGTTCTGCTGCTGCTGCTACTGGTGGATTCACCATTCCTTGGGAAAACCGTGCCATTGCTGCTGGTTCAACCCCCCTTCCCCCAAACCTGCCCTCCTCCGCTCAAAATGAAGAAACCAAGGCTCGTTTGTCTAGAGAATGTTTTCCATTCAACCGCCGCCTAAGAACTCCACGGGACGGACAGCAGCAGCAGAATCATTCTCTCAATCTTCTCACAATCCAACCCAACAATGATCCCAAACACATGTACACTACACTAGTATCCTCCCTGCTCTTCCTATCGCCCAATACTGCTGAAATCTCCTGGTTCTGCACATTTGTACTGCTTGTGCTTTACCCCTTCCGATTCTTCTTACCCGCACGGAAGGTCGAGGGTGATTAGGAGAAGGAACCGCCATGTCTAGTATATTCGTAACGACTTATGCAATAGGCTATCAGGAATGAGCTTCAGGTCTTGGTAGGTACGAACACTATGCCAGCCTCCTCAACCCTATCCTCTTTCGGACTAATTAATCTTGTTTGACCTACCGGCCGGCCCTGCAACCGTATCCCCTACAGCCGAGCGTCTAAGCTCGTTCCGTCACCCTCCGTCCCTGATGGGTCTCGACATTAATCTGCGCCGCATCCGTCGCTTGCGCGTGACCGTCGCCGCCGCAGACGTTCATGCCAACGCGCCTCCTCCAGCTGAAGTCGTTCCGTCTCCCCGCGATGTCTGGGAGGCCGCAGAAGCCGACAAGCTCGCCCCGTGGTCCCAAAAATCGTCGGAGAGCGCTACGAGTCTAGGCGGAACGGCGGTGCCGTCCGCAGCTATTGTTTCTGGCCGATCTATGCTCGCTCGTAGCAGCAGCGTCGGATGCGGGCCTGTTACGACGGCGGACGATGACTACGACGAGGATCTGGAGCCTAGCGACGACGATGGCGACGACGGCGACGACGACGACGACGAGGACGACGTTTGGGCTCGTTCGCGTGCTCGACCGCAGCAGTCGAGAAATCGCCCAGCGGTCGCACGGACCGCATCCGACGTCACGGGTGTTTTCCCCGTCTCCGGGTCCGGTTTCGCCGCGACAGTCGCCGCCTCCTCCGCCGGCGCGGAGTTCCGCACGTTTGAGCGCGCCCATTCAGGCGACAACCCCGCTCCCGCGCCCGTCCGCCGCCCCGCGCTCTCCGCCTTCCCGCGGAGTCATTCCGTCGCGGCCCCCGGCGCGCACAGTAAGCATGTCGGCCGCGTGACTGGAGGGGGCGCCGGCAGCAGCGGCATCGGCGGCGGCGCGAGTAGGTCGAAGCCGATAAGCAGCGACGGATCGCGGCTTCTCAGGCGCGGGGTCAGCGAGCGCGAACCGGGGGGGGGAAGCAGCAGCCGGGCGCAAGGCTCGGGCGCAGGCGGAGGCGGAGCTTCGGGAATGGAGGAATGGAGCTGGATGCGGCAGAACAGCCTGCGCGGAACCTCTGCGTCCCGAGCCGAGGGAGCTGCGGCGGCAGCAGATTGGGTTCGGCAGAGCAGCCTCGGCGGAACCCGAACCTCCCGCTTGGAGCGTAGCTCCAGTTCCAGTCTTGAGAAGGACGGCGGAGAGGAGGGGGACGGCGGGGACAGCAGCGGGGAGGAATTGGCGGATAACGGGGACGAGCAGGCGGTCGGCAGTGCCGGCCCGGCCGGCCCGGCCGGCTGGGGCAGGCAGCAAAGTCTGCAGCACAATTTACGCGGTAGGTTTCCTCAGAGTCACTCCGTGCGAGCGGGTGGCGATGCCGGGGGAGGCGGGGAGGACGCGGCGGAATGGGGGAGGCAGTATAGTCTGCGCGGGGTAGGGGCGGGGGTGGGGGGGTCCATGATCGAGCGGCGGCGTATGCCGCGGCTGCACGTGCGGCCAGTCGCGTCGGTCGTCGCTTCTTCCATCCGCAACCCCATGCAAATGGCGGCGCTTGCTGGCGCCGGCGGGGGAGGAGGCGCAGGCGGAGGCGGAGAGCACGCTGCCATGGCCTTTCCGCGCTCTCAGTCGCTGCACCCCGTCAGGCGGTCGGTTGGGGGATCCGGGGACTGGGGAGCCGCGCGGGGCGGTTTTGCCGGGCCGGGTAGCGACGACGAGGGGGAGGCGGATGGCGGCGGCGCAGGCGGGGAAGCAGACGGTGAGGCGCGCCGCGCAGGTGCGGGCTGGGAAGGGGGTGCGAGGAGGCCGGGCGGAAGGAGGACCGCGGGGGGAGTCGGGGGCGGCGGGAACGACGCGGAGCCGAGGCAGTGGGAAGAGGGGGCGGTGGAGGGTGCGGGAGAGGGGGAAGCGGTGGTTTTTGAGCGCACGAGTACTGCGCCAACGGGGGAGCTGCATGCGGCGCGGTACCGGATGATGGAGCGCGAGAGCCTCCGCGCAATGTACCGCGCGGACAGGGCGCGCCGGCGGATGGAAGCAGGCTCCGGCGGCGCAGGCAGCAGTGACTTCGGCCGCGGAGGCGGAGGCGGAGGAGGGGGGTTCGGGAGCGACCGGGAGCGGGGGGGTGGCGGGAGGGCGGGCTCCGCCAGCCACCTGCGGTCGCATTCACTGTTGGCGGCGGGGGATGACGAAGGCAGCGACGGAGGCGGAGGAGTGGGCGGAAATGGGGGAAGTGCGGGGGTCGCAACCGCGCAAAGGGGAAGCCATCCATACCCCGCTGTTGGCACTTCTCTTCCGCCCAGCGCGCGCAGACCCGCGCCTTCCCGCCACCACGCGGAGGCGGCGCATGTCCCATACGGTCCGCCGCAGGGCTACCGCGACCCTTCCGCTTCCGCCGCGGCTTCGGGCGCGGGAGCGGGCGGAAGGGGTCACCGCGTTTCATTGTCGCTAGGAGATATGGAGCATGCGGGGGAGCATGAGGGGGCTGGCGGTGGCGGGGGCGGGGCTCTCGCGGACGCGGGCGCAGGCGTAGGCGGAGGGGGAGACGGGGCTCCGGCGTGGCCCTGTCGTCCGGACGTGCTCGCGAATAGGGGCGCGCACGCGCACGCGCACGCTCCAGCGTATCCGCACAAGATTCCGCAGAGCTACAGTCAGGGGAGCGCGGGGGGTAGCCCCGCGCGCAGGAGTGTTAACAGGGGCGGCGGCGGGTATGGGGGGAACAACAGCGGGGGGGAGAGCGGGGGGGAAGAGACAGGGGGGGGAAGCAGTAGGCGCGGGGGAGAGGCCAGGGGAAGTGAATTGGGAGGCGCGTATACGAACAGGTTGGGTAGTGGCAGCAGCATGAGCAGCATCAACAGTGCGTTGTGGGCGGATGAAGGGAGGACGAGCAGCACTGGGGAGAGGGAGTTAGGGTTTGGACCTGGATCGAGGTCCGTGGGAGGAGGAGGAGGCGGAGGAGGAAGTGGGGGGAGTAATCATGGTACTGATGCTGCTGCTGCTGGCGCTCCTGCGGGGGTAGCTGAGGGGAGCAAGAAGAAGGGAGGGCTGGCGGGGGGCATGGCTCTTGGTGCGTCGAGGCTGCGTGAGTCGGCAGCTGCACGCATGTTCAGACGATCGCCCTCGGTCACTTAAGAAAAAGGTACGAGCGGTGTGAGCATCTGGGCAGGGGGCAGGGGGGAGTGGGCAGGGGGAAGGGGGCAGGGAACAGGGAGCAGGGGGCAGGGGGCAGGGGGCAGGGAGCAGGGGGCAGGGGGCAGGGGGCAGGGAGCAGGGGGCAGGGGCAGTGGTATGCAGCTACCTGTCTTCTCTCTGAGTGTCGTGGGGACTAGCTTGATAGATATAACAGAAGGCTGAGTGTCTTCTCGGTGAGGCTGGAGATAACTCAGAAGGTGAATGTGTCGCGGCAGAGTAGGCAGGGCAAATCGCCCTCCCTGCGCGGCAGCGCCGTCTGTGTGGTGCTCCTTGTTTCCGGTGTATCGAAAAGAGAGAAAGAAAGAGAAAAGGAAGAGAGAGGGAGAGAAGAAGGAAATCTGTGAAAATCTGTCACAAGGCATTGGCATCACCCGAGACTGCTGTGAGATGCGATGCGTGGGGTGGTGAGGTTCGGTTCGGGGTCCTGGGAAAACAGCCTGGGGTGGTGATGCGATCTAGTGCAGTTGAGTTTGTTCGCGACGTTCTCGTAAGTGGCAGTGCGGATAATGTACTTTGAGGGCTTGACATGTTTCTGTTAGGGGGGGGCACTCAACCATTTACGGACAGTTGATTGTGAGAAAACGGAGCTCGAGAGGTGAGGGGAGAAGAGAGCGAAGGGGGGGAGGGAGGGGGGAGGAGGGAAAAAATTGAGGCAGAATAGGAGCAGCCCGAGATCAGTTCAATCTACCTTTTGTATAAGGCGGTTACACCTACAGTTTTGCTGCTACTCTGTGCATATACATCATCAGATCTGTAGCCAAAATGCTGCCGTTTGCAACTCTCTGCACGAGAAGGAATTGATAGTAAAACAATCAATCAAGCTGGTCGCGTTTCTTCGCCTGTGCTATGCTTCCTAGACCTCCTGCGACCTCCTGCTGTCTCCCTTTCTGCCTTGTCAATCGTCTACCACGTGGGTAACTAACCTCCATCTCATTTCCCTACTCTCCTGCTGCTCTCCCTGCTTTTTTCTTTTCCCGGCCATCCCGTACCCGCCGATCTCCTTGGTGCTCTCATCCTGGGTGGTTCTTGTTTCAGGCTTCTGCGTCGTGCAAGCAGGACGGCCGATGGCGGCAGTGTGGGTAGTTTGGGTCGTCCTTTGGTTCGGTTCTGTACACAGCATCTGTGCCCTTGCAAAAGAACACATTGGGGTTTGAAGGAGAAGCCGTGTGCCTGTATGCGTGTGTCTCGCAGTTCCAGCCCGTTGCATGCATGGCCTCTAGATGCATGTTTGGAGAATGCTGGTGTGGATGAGCAGCAACTGCTGTCTCAGGCAGGCAGGGCGATGCAGCAACTCCAGTTCTTTTTCTTGCTCTGGTTTCTAAATGCCCTGAAACTGCCTTAGCTGATGGTACTGCTGCAGGTCCCTTTGACAAAATGTATTTAGGTTGCTATGCTTCCCTCTTACCGTACAATGTTTCTTCTCACACGCTTTCTTTTCTGACGGAGCAGTCTTTGACTACAATTGCATTGATCTACGCCCTTGACTTCTGTACAGCATTAGTGCAGTACAGTCCATTCTTCGCTCTCCACCATCATCTGCCTCTAGTCTGCAGATAATGTAACCGTGAGGCGACCCCGAGGACGACGCGATCGCAAATGGGTGGACGCGCAGCAACAGGAGTGCAAATCTTGGGGTTGAAATTTGAGGAAATTCGAACAAAAAAGTGAGCGTGATTCCAGAAAGTGTATCTTAGCGGATTAGACGGTTTTTCAAGATTGATTGCTCAAGTGCATCCATAGCTAGTTTCCAGGTGCCATTTCGAATCCCACAACCGCATTTGAGTTATTTGGTGTGTGGCGCAGAGCTTATTGAAAAGGAAAACATCATCATCAGTACGAGATGAAAATTGAGGGCAATTCAGAATGTGCACTCAATGTTTTTTTTTTTCGGAGACCGGGCGCACTGAGTTCAACAGTTAGATCCAGTCGTTGAATGGTGAGATGTTGAGAGAGTGCTACGCAGGTGGTGGTGGTGGTGGTGGTGAATGGTGGACGGGAGTGGGAGTGGATGGGTTTCGATGGTGAGTGTGTAAGGGAAATGAGGAAAATTTGTAAGCCAGTAGAAAAACAAGTTGTCCAGTCAATTCGGAAACTGGAAGCCAATTGCTGTTCATGTGCTGGGCTGATTCGATGTGTGCTTCAAACGGAGTTTTTTTTTCCGGCTACTGTACAATTATCTAGAACTGTACGGCTACCAACAGAAAGAGTAATTTAAATGTTTTGGCTTGCAGACTTCTCAGGAAACGCAGTGGTATGTAAGCAGCACCGCGCATCAAGGTCAAGCTAAGTGGGTGGAAGGGGGTGCTGCTGTTGCTAGGGAACAAGAACCTAATTTCTTGCTCTTCCGTCCTAAACAGGCTCCTGCTGCATTTTCGCTCGCGAGCAACTATGTAAATGTTAGGTTAGAGCTCGTTTGCGAGGAGTAGTATAAAGCCGTACAAAGTCGTACTTAAAGTCTGGGCCATCATGCAGAGGAGTGACGGCAATGGCCGCGAGCATTTTCACAGCCCAAGAAGCTGTTGTGACAGCTGTTTTGGTCTTGAGTTACCCTAATGTGGGATAAGTTAATTTCCTACTCTTTTAGTTTCTCGTCTGTCGCCGTTATAGCTTCATCGTCAGTGTCTCTAGTTTCTCGCTCGTTGTAGTCGTTCCTCCGCCAGCATCTCCTGGCTTCCCCCCTTCCTCTCCCTCCTTTGTCTTTTCCCGTTCCCGCTCGTCCGCTCGTCCGTTTTCCCCCCCTCTCTGTCCCACATTAAGACGTGAGTGCGGTGAGCGCTCCGACTCGCCCGCGCCTTTAGGGCGGCGGCGGCGGAGGAGGAGGAGTAGGAAGGGGAGGAGAAGGAGGAGGAGGAGAACATGGGGAGCTGTTTCTCCGTCGAGACGCGAGTGGTGGGCGAGAAACAACCTTCTAAAGCAGCGGACCAGACGCAATTCCAGCAGAATCAGCAGCAGCTGCAGCAGCAGAAGCAGCAGCAGCAACAGTTGAATCCGGGAGTCGAATCCAACGATAGCATTTCCCAGGGTGAGTGAATCAGCTCGCCGCTCTCTCCTCCACTCATGTCAATGACGCGAGATCCTTAGACGCTTGGCGACGTATTGCGACGCGCTGACGATTATCGCCGTGCGGTATCGTTGATCGCGACGAAGGTCGTATCTGCGTGATTTGCGACGTAACCGCTCGTCGTGGCTGCGCGCGTCGATGCGAACCGCTGGGATAAGAATAGAAGCGTCGTATGGAAGCGATAACCGAGTCGCTGGGACGGAAAGGCGCGAAGTGCTTGTCAGCGGAGCGGGAAGCGAGCTGGACTGAGCGATCCGGAAATGATGATGGGAGGGATGGGAGAGAGGGGAGAGAGGGGAGAGAGGGGAGAGAGGGGAGGGATGGGAGAGAGGGGAGAGAGGGGAGAGATGGGAGAGAGGGGAGAGAGGGGAGAGAGGGGAGAGATGGGAGAGATGGGAGAGAGGGGAAGGTGGGTCCCGGTCCTGGACCCGGGTGGGGGGGATCGTTGTGTGGGGGCGGGAATGGGGAGGGCGTCGTTCTCTCCTTTCTAGCAATTACCAAACGATGCAGTGCATTCACGATTCATCTCTCTCATTTACTCTGCTCTAGACCAGGATTCATGTGACCAGGAATCCCCTCCCCTCGCCACCTATCTACGCACATGTAATGCAACAACCCAGACCTCCTTTCCTTACCCTAACTCCTTGGCCCGGACCTCCTCCCTGCCTCCCAACCAGGCCCGGATCTCGCCGAGCCAACTCCGAACCACCCAGGCGCTGTAAACCCCCCTGCATCTTCCCCCTCCGCCGCCTCCGCTCCTGCTGTTCCCCCTGCGGGAAATCCCTACTCCGCGGATGGAATCTCCCCCAAAGGCGGCGAGGGGGGAGGGACTGGCGCTGGCAGAACGAGCAGAAACAGCGGGAACAGCGGGAACAGCGGCGGCAGCAAGAGCAGTGCAGGCAGCAGGAACAGCGGAGGCAGCAACTCAAACCACCCGCAGCAGCAGCAACAGCAGCAGCAGCAGGCAACAACACCATCCAACCATCCGTCCATAGCCATCCCGCAACCACCGTCCCCTTCCTCCACCACCTCGGGTCGAAGCCCCATTGCTGCTCCCATCTCCCCTGCAGGCCCGGTCACACCGCAAGGCCACAACAGCAACAGCAACAACAACAACAACCAGCTGTTGCGGCCGGTGCTGCCCACAGCAGCAGACGACCTAGCGAATTACTCTAGCCATGCTTCCTCCCAGGGCCTCCGGTCGTTCTCCTATGGAGAGCTCCGAGAAGGCACGTGCGGGTTCAAAAACGACCTGAAGCTCGGTGAAGGGGGGTTCGGGTCGGTTTATAAAGGGGTGATTGCGGTCGGCGGGGGAGGCGGGGGTGGGGGGAGAGGGGGGAGGGGAGGGGGAGGGGGGCGTGGGGGGGGTGCAGATGACACGAGTGGGCGGATGGTGGTGGCGGTAAAGAAGCTGAACGAAGATGGATTACAAGGCCACAAGGAATGGATGGTATGTTACTACTACTACCAGCCAGCCCTTTGCTCCCCCCATTCCTCCTCTGGTTTCTAGAATCCTCAAAACCAGCTTGTCACAAATGGTAATGATGGTGGTGGTGGCAGTGAAGAAGCTTAATGAAGATGGATTACAAGGGCATAAGGAATGGATGGTATGGTACTACCTGCCCCTCGCTCCCATTGCCCCTCTTACCCCTCTTGGTCCCCTTCCTCCTCCCCTTCCTCCTCCTCTTCCCCTTCTTCCTCCTCTTCCTCCTCTTCCTCCTCTTCCCCTTCTTCCTCCTCTTCCTCCTCTTCCTGCTGCACATGCCTCTACCCCCCAGTCCCTTCCAACCGATTCGCTCCCGCAAACCTTCCGCTCACTATTCCAACATGCTCAGTACGCTACGCTGCCTCTCCTCTCGTCCTTCTCTGCACAGCCCCCCACTCTCTCCTGTTCCCTCTCCATTTCCCCCATTCACTTCCCCTCCCTCTCACTACGCGCCCCACACACATCCCCCTGAAGGGCGGAGGTGAACGTGATGGGCACGCCGCATGAGGCACCCCAACCTGGTGACCCCCGCAACCCTTGAGGCGCCTCAAAATACCACTTTTGAGGCGCCTCAAAAGCCCCAACCTGGTGATCCCCGCAACCCCACTCCCCCCTTTCGACTCCTTGCTTTACTTCCCACACCACATCGCCCCCTCCTTCCCCTCCCCCCCCCCCCCCCACAGGCGGAGGTGAACATGCTGGGCACGCTGCGCCACCCCAACCTGGTGACGCTCATAGGCTACTGCATGGAGGGGGGTTCGCGCCTGCTCGTGTACGAGCTCATGGACCGCGGCTCGCTCGACCACTACCTCTTCTCAGGTGTGTTCCTGTGTGCATACATGCATACGTGCGTGCGTGCGTGCGTGTGTGTCTGGGTCACGTGCATGGAAGGGGGTTCGCGCCTGCTCGTGTATGAGCTCATGGACCGCGGTTCACTAGACCACTACCTCTTCTCAGGTGCGCGCTTGCAGGAGTGCATGTATGCGTGCGTGCGTGCCTGTGTGCATGCCACAGGCATGTGGCCTGCTCGTGTATGAGCTCATGGACCGCTGCTCGCTCGACCACTACCTCTTCTCCGGTGCGTTCCTGTGTGCATACGTGCATACTTGCGTGCATTTATGCATGTGGGCATGCGTGCATGTATGCATGTATACATGTATGCATGTATGCATACCAGGAAGGGGGTTTCCCCCTTCCTCTTCTCCCAACCAAACAGGAAACGCAGTCAGTGGCGGCCAGGGGGACGGACTTTGGTCTGCATGCATGCGGCATGCGCATGCGGCATGTATCTGAGGGGGGCTCCCCGCTCACAGCTCCATCCCATCCCTTCCCTCCCCTCCCTCCACTCCCTCTTCCCCCCCCCCACTGCAGACGTATGCGCATGCGCATAGCCGTAGATCAATTGAGGCGTTTCAGAAACCTGTCTCTCATTCCCCCTCCCTTTCCTCCTCTCCCCTCTCCCTCTCCCCCGCCCCTGCAAACGTGGGCTTCCTGCTGCCATGGGGGCTGCAAATGCGCGTAGCACTGCTCAAGGCCAAGAGTCTTGACTCGCCTCAGAGTCCTTTCTTCCATTTCCACTTCCCCTCCCCCTCCCCGCCTGCCCCTGCAGACGTGGGCAGCCCGTTGCCGTGGGGGCTGCGCATGCGTATAGCGCTGGGCGTGGCGCAGTGTCTGGTGTACCTGCACGAGAACCCCCACCGCCCCATCATTTACCGCGACCTTAAAGCCGCCAACGTGCTGCTTGATAAGGTGGGGAGGAGGGTAGGGGGGCAGGAGGACAGGGGGACAGGGGGCGGGGGGAAGGGGCAGAGAGAGAGAGAGAGAGAAGACACGACGAGAAGAGGGAGGGGGTTTGGGGTTCGAATGTGTGATGCTCTGAGAGGCACTGGGCGTGGCGCAGTGTCTGGTGTACCTGCATGAGAACCCCCACCGCACCGCCCCATCATCTATCGCGACCTTAAAGCCGCCAACGTGCTGCTGGATAAGGTGGGGACGATAGTAAGGGGGGTTGAGGTTGGGGCTTCGTGGGTGGGAAGGGAAGTGAGAAAGAGGGAGAGAGTGAACCCCCACCGCCCCATCATCTACCGCGACCTTAAAGCCGCCAACGTGCTGCTGGATAAGGTGGGGACGATAGTAAGGGGGGTTGAGGTTGGGGCTTCGTGGGTGGGAAGGGAAGTGAGAAAGAGGGAGAGAGTGAACCCCCACCGCCCCATCATCTACCGCGACCTTAAGCCGCCAACGTGCTGCTGGATAAGGTGGGGACGATAGTAAGGGGGGTTGAGGTTGGGGCTTCGTGGGTGGGAAGGGAAGTGAGAAAGAGGGAGAGAGTGAACCCCCACCGCCCCATCATCTACCGCGACCTTAAAGCTGCCAACGTGCTGCTGGATAAGGTGGGGACGATAGTAAGGGGGGTTGAGGTTGGGGCTTCGTGGGTGGGAAGGGAAGTGAGAAAGAGGGAGAGAGTGAACCCCCACCGCCCCATCATCTACCGCGACCTTAAAGCTGCCAACGTGCTGCTGGATAAGGTGAGAAGAGGGGAGAGGAGGGAGGGTGGTAGTATGGGGCCAAGCCAAGTTGTGAAACATTAGCAAGGTTGTCAATCAATCTGTTCAGGCTGGGCGTATCAGCAAGGGATGCTGGCATCTCTTCCCCCTGACATTTAGTACATTTAGCACATTTAGCACATTTAGTACATTTAGCACGTTTAGTACATTTAGTAAATTTAGTACATTTAGCACATTTAGTACATTTAGCACATTTAGTACATTTAGCACATTTAGTACATTTAGCAGATTTAGTACATTTAGTACATTTAGTACATTTAGCACATTCAGTACATTTAGCACATTTAGTACATTTAGCACATTTAGTACTCAATCCGCCTTGTACCACCACCAGCCAGCCGTCCCCCTCCCTTGCCCCCGCGCTGTTCCCCCTCGCCCTGGGGGGACAGCTCTCAGGGTATCAAACCCAAGCTTTCGGACTCTGGTCAGACTGTTATCTGTGTGTCTTCACCAGGGCTGGTCAGCCGGGCATGTCTTTTGAGTCGACTCAAAAGTCACCCTGGGAGCACAACTCTCAGAGTATCAAACCCAATCTGTCGGACTCTGGTCAGACTGTTATCTGCATGTCTTCACCACGGCTGGTCAGCCCTGCATGTCTCGAATCACAGACTTCCTTCATGCACCGTCAACCTGTCACATCTTCCTCCCTACCTACCCTACCCCCTCCCCACCACCTCCGTCGCCCAGGATTTCAACCCCACGCTGGCGGAATCTAGGCTTGCTCTGTGGCTTGCTGCTCTGCAGCACACCTTCTCTCCCTGTCCGTCCGTCCCGTCCCGTCCCCCCTTTCTTCCCCTGCCCAGGATTTCAAACCGAAGCTGGCGGACCCTTTGGGCTCTCTGCTCTGTGGCTCAGCCCTTCAGCACACTTACTCTCCCTGTCCCCTTTCCCCCGCCCCCTCTTCCCCCGCACAGGATTTCAACCCGAAGCTGGCAGACTTTGGGCTGGCGAAAGACGGCCCGGTGGGGGATAAGACGCACGTGACCACGCAAGTGGTGGGCACGTATGGGTATGCCGACCCCGACTACCTCTTCACTGGTGGGTGTGCATTTAGTCGACTCGAAAACTCGTACACCGGATGCCGACCCTGACTACCCCTTCACTGGTGGGTGTCAATGCGTGGGTGCGTGAGGGTGTGCGGGCGTGCGGGCGTGCATGTGTGCATGTGTTTTTATTTTCTTGTTCCTCACCAGGCTTCTGGGAAAATGCATCTCAATCACCACTTACCTACCCACCCACTCACTCACCCACTCACTCGCCCACTCACTCACCCCATTCCCACCAACCAGGCCATCTGACTCCCAAGAGCGACGTGTACGGCTTCTGAGTGCTGCTGCTGGAGCTTCTACTCACTCCTGCCTGCACACCCCTCTTTCCCTTGCTTTCTCCCCCGGGGTCTCCCCACCAACCAGGCCATCTGACCCCCAAGAGTGACGTGTACGGCTTTGGAGTGCTGCTTCTAGAGCTTCTATCCGGGCGGCAAGCCAGCGACTTTCCCACAGACGAGGAAGACGAGTCGAGGAAGCAAAGCAGGAACCGGGGGAACAGCGAGGTGATGGATGCCGAAGCAGGGGACGAGGACGAGGAGGAGGAGGACGAGGGGATTTGTTGGAATGAGGTGACTTTTGATTTAAACCAAAAGTCACCTCGACCCCACTCCCCCACACCCCCACCCCTCTATTCTCCTCCCTTCTCCCCTTGGTTTCCCCCCACTGCGCAGGCCACTTAACCCCCAAGAGCGATGTGTACGGCTTTGGAGTGCTGCTTCTGGAGCTTCTATCAGGCCGGCAAGCCAGCGACTTTCCCACAGACGAGGAAGACGAGTCGAGGAAGCAAAGCAGGAACCGGGGCAACAGCGAGGTGATGGATGCCGAAGCTGGAGACGAGGACGAGGAGGAGGAGGACGAGGGGGACTTGTTGGAATGGGCCGAGCCTATGCTGGCGGATCGGAAGCGGGTGGAGGAGGTGATGGACCCGAGGCTCGGGAGGGAGTGGCCGGCGCGGGGCGTGCAGAAGGCGGCGCTGTTAGTGTTGCATTGCACGGCCAGGAACCCGTATGAGCGCCCGATGATGAGCAGCGTGGTGAAGACGCTGAGAGTGATGCAGCAGGGGTACACGTGGCCGCCGCCTGCTGCTTCGGGGGAAGCTGCTGCTGGTGGTGGTGCTGCGACCACGCCCCGGACACCCAGAACGCCCACTTGAGGGGGGGTGGGGAGGGGATGGGATGGGGAGGCGAGGGGAGGGGGTAAGGACAGCGGAGAAGAGGGTGAACATGGCAGGGAGTGGCCGGCACGGGGAGTGCAGAAGGCGGCGCTGCTGGTGCTGCACTGCACGGCCAGGAACCCGTATGAGAGGCCGATGATGAGCAGCGTGGTAAAGACGCTACGGGTGATGCAGCAGGGGTATACGTGGCCGCCCGCTGCTGCTTTGGGGGGTGATGCTGGTGGTGGTGGCCGTGGTGCTTCTGGTGGTGGAGCCACGCCTCGAACTCCCAGAACGCCTACTTGAGAGGGGCGAGGAGAGGGGATGGGGAGAGGGGAGAGGAGAATGGGTAGGGAGAGAAGGGTCGGAAGAAGAGGTGGGAGGTGGTCGATGACTTGAGGAGTGAAGGGGGGAAACTAGTGAGGGGAAGGAGGGGGGAGAGGAGGTGTGGGGATCGGAGGGTAGGGGCAGGGAGGAGGGAGTCGGAGGGGGGTGGAGGGGTCAGAGGGAGATGTGCTAGTGGCACGTGGTAATGATCTTGGGGGGATTGAGTGGACGGGTGGTGCCAGGCTGGCAGTGTTCACGAGCAAGACAGGCCGGCGGTAAAACGTGTGGCAGTGTTTTTTTGTGCAGGTAGCACTGACATGTGAGAGGCACAGGCTGAGGAGAATGTTTGTGTGGGTCTGTTGCGGAATACAGTAGCTGCTGTTTTTTTCTAGTACTCGTTAGTCGTCGTTACCCTCCGGCAAAAGCCGCCTATTATGCTGCTATGCTTATCCCTTGTGAGCGTTTATAAGTCTGCTTAGGTTGTCAGCACTTGCAGCATCAACTCACTACTGTATGTCTTCAACAGTATTTATTACTGGGGAGTAGGTAGCAGTGATGTAAGAAGAAATGTAAGCCTTTTTTTTTGTCCAATTACAAGACAACAACGGACTAAATTTTGTGTTCTGCAGTTCCACATAAATAATCATCATCGTGTACCAGCACCCTCACTCTCTTCCCTCCAAAACGGTTCAGGTGTCTGACATGCCGAACCACAGCCGAAACCTACTGCCATGGGTAGTGTCGACCGAACCAATCAACACACGTCCAGTAAGCCGCGTCATTCAAATAGGCCTACCGAGGCACGAAAAATCTGGGGGGAAGCCACGAGCCTCGACAAACATGTCCTTCGGTTCGGTTGGAATGGAAGTAAGTAATCCACTTCCTTTAGTTTTCACTTCAGTAATCCAGTATTTATCTTGCTCGAGCCGACACTACGGAACCCCAACAAGAACAGCGACCGTGTGACATTATCATACGTCAATATCCCGTTTGGTCTAGCATTATTCCGTTAACGCCTTTTTTTTTATCCATTCGTCGTCATGGCATCAGCAGCAGCAGCAAGCAAGCAGAACGTACGTAAGCGGTGGAGCTTACCTTGGTCATCTCTCCTATTCCAAGACGCAACCTCGCCTATCCTCGCTACGACAAATTCCCTCCAATCTGGCGCCTCTCAGGTCCCCCGTGTTCCTCTCAAGAAGCTACGAGCCGCGCTCCTATGTCGGCTCGCGTGTGCCGTTCTAGCAACCGCCGTCCTCTTTATAGTCGTTCTGATTCGCGGGGGAAGAGAATACCTCTTCTCCGGTACCTCCGCCTCGCCGAACCATGCAACCCACACGACCCAGGAGACTAGCTTCGGAATCAGCAGCGCGAGCGTGCTATCCACTCACAGCGTGCCACGTATCTTCCTGTACCGGATGCTCGGAAACGACATGCCGCCGTTACAATGCGAGGGACAGTTGTATCACAATCTGAAGTACACGTTACAATACGAGCCTAAGCACCTTCCCGGGTGCCGGCGGCTGTGGGTGCTGAATAATATCGTGAACAGCACTGTTGAGAAGATGACTCTGGATCTGCTATTGAACAACGGATACACCATGGATGTGAGTGGAGCACGGATGCATCATGGTCGCACGGAAAGAGCATGGGTGTGAGAGAAGCGCGGGTACAGCATGGATTCAGCCTTGTCCAAAGAACCCACCCCGCATCTTTCTCTTTTTTCTCTTCCCTTCCCCGTGAACGTTTGAGTCCAGTTAGAGACGAAGCGTCCCTCTCTCCCTCCCTAAACCCCCGTCTCCGCTCACTCTAGCTCCTGCCTCCACCCTCCTCCTCCTTCCATCCCATTCCCATCCTCATCCCCATCCGTCGCCCAGCGCCTCGACTAGAATTTGCGTGATCCTACTGTTAGGAGTCACCATTAGTAGAAAGAAACTTAAGGACTTGCCCACTTTCTCCCTGTACCATCCCATTTTCAAGCCACCCACCCCCAACCCCCCTTCTCTTCCCCTTTTTCTGGTCTCACCTCACTTCGCCTCGCCTCACCACACCTCCCCTCCCCTCACCACACCTCCCCTCACCTCACCTCACCTCACCTCACCTCATCTCACCTCACCTCACCTCACCCCACCTCACCGCACCTCACCGCACCTCACCGCAGGACATCCTGGTGTTCCGCATCAACTACACTCGTCTCGCCTCGCTGCCCGAGGACGCTTGGCTAGATGCCGTCACAGGTGAGGTGGTGACGTCACAGGTGGGGAGGTGACGTCACAGGTGGGGATGTGACGTCACAGGTGGGGATGTGACGTCACAGGTGGGGGTGACGTCACAGGTGGGGTGATGCTGGCATACTGGGCTGGGTTTAGTGCTGTGCCATCTCAGGTGCTGCCATCTCAGGTGCTGCCATCTCAGGTGCTGCCATCTCAGGTGTGGAAAAGTAACCACATGGCATGGCACAGCAAAGGGCATGCACGGATCTGACCATCCAGCTCATGTCCTCCACTCCTCCCGCCCTCCACTTTCCTCTCCCAATTCCGCACCACCCTATTGTCTTTCCTTAAACCCCAAACCCGAACCCTTATACCAGAGCTGAACAGGGTTTGTAATTACCTAATTGAGCATGGCATACCGCACATTCAACCGCCTATGCAACTCCCTCTTTCCCCTTCGTCTAATGGGAACGAGGTGTGCAACCACATAATAGAGCACGGCACTCCGCAGCCGCCTATGCCACTCCCTCTCCCCACCCTCACCGTACCCCACCTCATCCCACCCCGCCCCGCCCCATCCCACCCCCCATCAGAGCTGAACGAGGTGCGCAACCACATGATAGAGCACGGCATCTAACCGCCTATGCCACTCTCTCTCCCCTCTCCCCTCTCCCCTCTCCCCTCACCCCAACCCCCCCTAGAGCTGAACGAGGTGCGCAACCACATGATAGAGCACGGCATAGCGCACGGGGCGCGGTGGGTGCTGCCGCTGGACGGCAACCATTTCTTCACGGCGGAGATGTGGGGGTTCATCCTCGCCGCTGCTTCCCGCCACGAGGCCGCCGGGAAGAAGAACCTCAAGGTGCGAAGCGAATGGGGGTGAGGGGCTGGTTGGGCCGCGTGTGGATGGGGAGCAGGAGGGGCGGGGAGGGGAGGGGAGGGGAGGGGATTGGAGGGGAGGGCAGGGGAGGGGAGGGGAGAAAGTGGGAGAGGAGGGAATGTCGGTGAGTGTGTTTCTCAAAATGGAGTGAAAACGCACGGCGTAGCGCACAGGGAGAGGGCGTTGAAGGGAGAGGGAGAATGGGGGCGTTTCTGTTGGCTCCAATCCCCCCTCAATCCCCTCTCTGGCTCCACGGCAGCACACGCTACCACGTCTCGAAACAACCTTGTCTTCATTCCCCCCTCTGTCCCCCCTCGTCCCCCGTACGCCCTACTCTCCATCCACCCTGCATCATATCCCAGTGGCCAAGGTAGACGGCCCTCAATTCCCCCAATGGCTCAACGGCAGCACGCTATACCGCGTCTCGAAACAAACTTTCTTTCACTCCCCCCTCGTCCCCCTCCGCTCCGTCTGCCCCCTCTTCCGCCGTATGCCCCACCCCACCCACCACCCATGGATCAGATCCCAGTGGCCAAGGTGGACGGCCCTCAATCGCCCGCCCCTCTGGCTCAACGGCAGGGCTGAGGCAAACTTGCATTCATCTCTCTCTCTCCCCTCTACCCCCGTATGCCCCATCCACCACCCACCACCCACCACCCACCACCCACCACCCACCACCCACCACCCACCACCCACCACCCATGGATCAGATCCCAGTGGCCAAGGTGGACGGCCCGCAGTCGCCCCTCTGGCTCAACGGCAGCACGCGCTACAGGGATCTGCAGCCCCACGCGCCGCTGCAGTGGGAGGGGCACCTCGGCTTCAGAAACGACTCCCCCCACCGCTTCCACCCAGGTGCGTGCGCTGCGCTTTCCTGCTTCCACGCAGGTGCGTGCGCTGCGCTTTCCTGCTTCCACCCAGGTGTGTGTGCTGTGCTTTCCTGCTTCCACCCAGGTGTGTGTGCTGTGCTTTCCTGCTTCCACCCAGGTGTGTGTGCTGTGCTTTCCTGCTTCCACCCAGGTGTGTGTGCTGTGCTTTCCTGCTTCCACCCAGGTGCGTGCGCTGCGCTTGCTTCCACTTCCTCTCAGGTGCATGCGCTGCGAGTGCTGGTGCCTGGTTGTGTGCTTGCGTGTGCCTGGTTGTGTGCTTGCTTACTGTGCCCAATACCACACTTGCTGCATCCAAGCCCTCTCACACCTGTCTGGCCCTGGTTCCCAGTCTTCCATCTCGTCTAGATAAAGCCCCTACCGCACTCCTTATGCGGGCGAGTTCTGACTAGACTCAAGGTGCCTTTGCGTATTCTCAAACATCTCGAAACCTCTGCTCCTACACCTGTCTGTTCCCGATGTTCAAACCCTCAAAAGCCAAACTCTAATACCCCAAACCCTCGCTTCCCAAACTCTCATGCCGAGTCTCAGGTCCGGGGTACGGCCGGCGGTGCAAGCTAGAAGCTATGGATCGCATCTGCGGCACGGGGCTGTACTATGAATGGCACGAGGCGTGCCATTCCATCAACCCCCTTCCCCATTCCTCTCTCAGTCTATACCCTTCATCCACTTCCATTATCCCTCCAACCCCCTCCACCTTCCCCTTTCTCTCCCCCCACGGTTCCACCCCCTTGTTGCCGTTCAAAACCCCAACGTTTCAAAATCCCAATCTCTCTTGCCTTGCAGGTCTGGGGTACGGCCGACGGTGCAAGCTAGAAGCTATGGATCGAATCTGCGGCACAGGGCTCTACTACGAATGGCACGAGGCATTCCGGGCACTGGGTCTACTGGAGCTCTACCACCCAGACTTCACCCCTCTCCAAGCAAACACGGGGGAGTGCGGGTGCATGTGGGAGGTTGGGAGGGAGTATCGAACCCGGCCGATGAAGGAGTCTTTAGCGCGGGCGTGTGGGATGAGCGTGCGGCTGTGGTATTTTCCGTGCGACGGGAGGGGGGAGCATGGCGGAGCTGTGACTAAGAACGAGTCGTATGCGTTCACGCTGAGGTACACTGCACGGTCGATACTGCGCGGGAAGATACAGGCTGTGATTGAGGCGACGAGGAAGGCGGGGAGAGGGAGATGATCGAGTGGGCGAAAGGAGGAAGGGAGGTAGGTTCCGGTAGACTGACTGACCCCAGTGACTGTGTCAGGCTTCAACTGACCACCACCAGTGCTGGTCAGGGCTGGTTGGTTGGAACTTGGAATGTATGGAGAGAGAGTGGATGGTGTGGCGTTGTGCTTGATTGCGATGCAGCCTCGAGCGAGCATGAGAAGAGACCCAAGTGTCTCCTTCACGCCAGTCACAATCTGTGTCTGTCAAGTGTGTGGGGAGTGGAGTCATCAACACAGGTTCGCTCGCCCTGGTTACACTGGAAGGGCAGGCTGCAGATTGCAGTTGCAGTGGGAGAAGCCCTAGAGAGAGCACTAAGGATGGTGTTGAATCATCCCACTGTTTTGCACTTGAACAACCACTACGGTAATTGCCATGCAAATGCAAGGTTTCCTTACAGAGTTTTACTGTATTTGCTTTAGGAAGGGCTTTCTCTGTAAAAAGAATGGCACATAATGTTACCATGTTCATTCAATCAGAGACCCCTCTCATATGACTCCGCCCCCCATGTTCACATCACATGGTGCTGCTGCTCCATGCACCTGGGGTTTCTTTCCACTGCATGCAAGCATGCAATGCATGAGTGCATGCTTGCTGCCTTATCATTGAATTGAAACACTCTACTGGGCGCTTGACTGGTACACCAACAAAACTATAGCTCTTTATTGAGCGCAATAGAGCACACGGTATCTCTACTCCGGTCAATGGAAAAACACAGGCACGTAGCCACTACAGTGCCTGAGCAGGTTAACAAAAAGGAGAGTAAATAACACCTTCTCTTGCTCCAACCCGCCCTAAATCCTCTTGTATGCGAACACCCATGCTACCGTACTTGTATGCGATGCGAACCCCACTTGCTTAAAACTCCCGGGTCCTTGTGCCGTTAGTAATCTCAACCACACAGCGTTTCTTGCTGACCGGCAAGCTCGCAGGAGCCAATCAGAGAGTCTCGTTTGCAGACTGGGTCGGCTGAGCAGGCTGCGCAGGCAGCGGCGATTGCGGTGGCTGCGGTGGGTGCGTTGGGGCCGCAGGGGGCTTGCTGTTTTCGCCCACGCGTACTAGACTCATGTGCAGGATGATGAGGTTCAGGAGGGCGTGTGTCAGCATGGGCGCAACAAGGTTGCCCGTCTGTGAGGGGGGTGTGGGGGAGGTGGGGTGTGGAAAGGGAAGAGGGAGGGGCCACAGGAGGCTTGTTGTTCTCGCCCACGCGTACTAGACTCATGTGCAGAATGATGAGGTTCAGGAGGGCGTGTGTGAGCATGGGCGCAACGAGATTGCCGGTCTGTGGGAGTGGTGAGGGGGGAGATGGGGTGTGAGGGGGGAGATGGGGTGTGGGGAGGGGAAGAGGGAAAGAGGAAGGAGGGGGGGGAGAGGGGGGAGTGGAAGTGGGGAGGGGTGGGGGGGGGGGATCTTAGACGTGACATGGGTACAAACAGCACCCTGATCAGACGACATGGGTAAGGTGATTTGGTGAAATCGGAACAAGGGGGGAGACGTCAGACATGCATATGAAACACATGCGGCACAGTCACACCCTTAGTGCACCACTCGGCTTTGCTGGCTTGGGTAAGATGACTTGCTTTGCTTGCGCCCCGGGACAGGTTGAGCAAACGCAGTAAACGTGGCAGGTGAAACACAACGCAGTTCAGCAAGACGCACTCAATGCTGGATCAGCAGAGAAGAGAGGCAGAGAAGAGACGCACGCACTCAATGGGCAACTACTAAGCTGGCTACGACTCCCCGTCACACACACACTACTCTTGAGTCAATATGAACGGACAGCTTCCAAGTCAATTCACACAAACGCAATCTCCATCACCACATAACGCCACTCACCATGACCCACTCAATGCCATAGTAGAGACTCAGCAGAGAGGCAAACATGGGTGGGTAGATCTGCTGGTGTTGCTGCCGCTCATGCCATGCTGTGCGGTGCAAGCAGGGGAAAGCGGGGGAGAAAAAAAAAAAAAAAAAAAAAAAAAAAAAAAAAAAAAAAAAAAAACTTAGGGTTTAGGAGATACTTAGCCATGAGAGCTGCTGCTTTTGAGGCACCTCCACAGCACAATGATATGAACACACACCAGTGGGACAGGGTAACAGCGGCAGTGCAAGACGCGTTAACGCGCATAAAGCGTGAGATAGACAGGGTAAGAGTAGCTAAGGGTTTGGGAGATTAGGAGGGGAAGATAATTGATGAGAGGCTGTGTACAGAGGGTTAGTGTGTGCACGTGTGTGTGTATGTGTGCGTGTATGTGTGCAAGTGTGCGTGTATGTGTGCACGTGCGCGTGTATGTGTGCGTGTATGTGTGCACGTGTGTGTGCACGTGTGTGTGCACGTGTGTGTGCATGTGTGTGTGCATGTGTGTGTGCATGTGTGTGTGCATGTGTGTGTGCATGTGTGTGTGCATGTGTGTGTGCATGTGCGTGTGCATGTGTGTGAGTGTGTGAGAAAGAGCATACCTCTCATTGCCGAACGAAGCTCCCCAAGGCTGTATGACTGGGTGACGACAATAACAGCATCTGCACACACACGCACACAAACGCACACACACGCACACACATGCATGCACACACGCATGCATGCACACGCGCATGCATGCACACACGCATGCAAGCACGCACGAGGAAATTCAGGGAGGGCACAGCGAAAAAGGCCGGGGTAGGAGAGGAGGAGGAAAAGGGGGGGGGGGGGGGGGGGGGGGTGTACAGGGGTCAACAGGTGTCAGACTGAAGGGGGGGAGGATGCAGTATCCAGGGGTCAGCACATAGTCCTGTGTTGACACATCTGGAGCTTGTGAAAACGCACAGGAGTGGCGGTTGCATTGTAAATATGAGTGTGGGAGGGGCTGTCGTGGCATGCTGCAGCGCAGCGGCACACATGCCTTGTGGGAACAAGAAAGCAACGGAGAACACACAGGGGCATGCACTGGAGCGCATTAAGGAGCCCGGATACCAACACAACATATGCGGGCACGCGCAAATAGCAACACAAGGGGTAAGCGCACCTCTGGGAAGCGCCATGGCGTAGTGGATTGTGCCGGCGAGGGCGGCCGTGAGCGTGGCGGCACAGAACTGCGTGCCGGGCGCCATGCATGGCCAAATCCCCGTCTGGTGCACAGCACAGCACACAGGGCACACGCACGCACAGGATAAACAGGCACGATGAGAAGGCAGGTTGAGCATGCGGGGCATGGGGGGTTGAGCGGATGGGAGAGGGGTGGAGGAGAGGAGAGGGAGGGGAAGGGAGGGGAGGGGAGGGGAGGGGAGGAAGAGGAGGAGAGAGGTGGCGAGAAAAGAAGAGGGGAGGGGAGGGGAGTGTGGTAAACAGTGCGCTCTAAGGTCGAATGTAGAAATCAGCAAACACAGTGGGTACTACTAAGAAGTGTGACCGAGTGCGTGCCTCTTATCTGCCTTCTCCCCCACCCTCCCTCCCATCCCCCCACTCCTTTCCACCCCTCTTACGCCCTCTCCCCCCTCCCCCTTCTCCAAACCCACCCACCAGAGCAGCCATGCCAAGATCCGGGGCATCAAGGGAGGGCGCAGCGGAGAGCAGCAGGGCGCGAGTCAGGAAGGCCTGCAGGGCAGCGCGGAAGAAGAGCTCCTCTGATAGTGCAGCCGAGACAGCCACTATGGTGTACTGCCATGCCGCCATGCCCTGGAAAAACTCCTCTGCCTCCTCGTCGTCCGCGTCGCGCACTGCCCTCACCACCTCCCACCGCTCCGCAACTCGATCCTGTAGAAAAGAGAGGGGAGGAGGGTGGGAGGGAGGGAAAGGAAAGTTGTATGACTTTCAAGACGTCTCAAACGACGTCCCGCACTGCCCCTCACCACCTCCCACCACTCCGCCACTGCGTGGTGACACGAAAAGGTGATCAGCTTTTGAATGAGTTGTAAGGGAGGGATGGCGTCTTGTGTTTAGAAAGAAGGCATGGGGGCTGGGAGAAAGCGTGTTGTGGTGATGAGGAGCAAGTAAAGCGAAGCAGCGAGAGAGGTGGAATGGAGGAGTGGAGCAGCAACGGATCTAGGTAGAAAATGGAGAGCGGGACGGGATCAGGACGGTAACGAGTGGGGGGTGGGGAGGAGGGTGGGAGAGCAGGAGAGAGCAGGTTATGAGGAGGGTGTGAAGAGAGGGGAGAGGAGAGTGGGCAGAGAGGGGAGTAAGGAGGTGAAAAGCGGAACGGACCTGGAAGAGTGCAAGAACAAGGGCGATGGCAGGAGCAGAGAAGGCGAATCCGTCTAGCACTCCTTGTAGCGACAGCTGGAAGCCTCCGGACCAATCGAGACCCGCCAGCTGGGCACCAGCAACAGCCGCTGTTGCCAACCCAGCATAAGTAGCTGCGGGGGGAAAGAGAGAGCGAGCGAGGGAGGGAGGCAGTGGGAAGTGAACGAGAGAATATGAGCGTCTGTGATTTACATGCCCCTGCGTCCATGCCTCTGTATGCAATATGCTTTAAACAGAGTACGCGCGAGAGAAGAGGCAGGGAAGGAAGGGTGGTTACCCGTGCCATATAAGAATCGAACGAAGGTGTTGACTCGCTCTGAAGGGCTGGATGACTGGTACGGCTGATGAGGAGAGAGAGGGGGGAGTGGGGAAGGAGACACGCACGCACGAAGGCATGGTTCGCATATGATAGCACACGTCCCGTTTGAATCTCATGATGGTTGAAGCTCGAACAGGTGAGAACGAAGGAAGGGACGAGATGGGATGGTGGGCGAGAGAGGCCGAGCAGTGGAATAAGGAAGAAAGGTGATGAAAATTGGGGTGCTAAAAAAGGGAAGCGGGGCAAAGACAGAGGGTAAAAGAGGGGGAAAGAGAGGGGGAAGAGGCGGGAGAAGAAAGGGAAAAGGAGGGGGAAAGAGCAGGAAAGAGAGGGGGATGAGAGTGGGAAAGAGCAGGGAAGATAGGGGGAAGGAGAGAAGGGAAGAGAGGGGAAAAGACGAGGAGAAGACGGGAAGAGAGGGTGGAAGCGGGGGAAAAGAGGAGGGAAGAGATGGAGGGACGAGGAAAGTGAGGGGGGATATAGAGGGAAAGAGTGGGGAAGAGAGTGGGGAAGTGAGGGAGAGAAGAGAGGGAGGACGAAGGGCGAAGAAATGAGGGAAGAGAGGGGCGAAGAGAGGAGGGAAGAAAGCGGCGAAGAGAGGGGGAAGACAGGACGGAGGAGAGGGTGGGGCAGGAGAGAAGGTGGAAGGGAGGGAAAAAACGGCGAAGACACATGGAGCACACACCCGTCGCAAATCGCGCACGCCTTGAGTCGGCATAGCCCCCGCACCACCCTGCGCCTCCTCCGTCTCACTCCTCCCCGCGCGCACTCTCACCGCACCCGCCCTCTCCCCGCCCCGCCCGCCTCTCCTTCCTCGCGGGGTGAGGGGAGGGGCGGAGAGCGGGTGTATACACAAGCCACGCGCGGAAGCGCGCGGAAGAACGCGGGAGCTGCGGAAAGGGGAAGCCAGCCCAACAGCGGGGGAGCGGAGGAAACGGTCCGCGGGAGAAGGAACGGAGGGACCGGCGGAAGGGGAGGAGGCGGAGGAAGCGGAGGGGCGTGCGGTGGTAACAGGAAGCGAGAGCGGGTGACAAGCAAGCGAGAGGTGACAAGTCCCGTGTGCTGCCATGGGTAAGCTAGCGCTGATGCGCGGGTCTGACAGTGAGATGGATGTGGGTGAAAAGGTTCGCAGGTCCATGATTGTTGGGGTCGGGAGCCTTTGAGACGTCTCAAAAGGAGCTCGCTCTGCTAAGAGGAGAGGGAATGGGTGGAGCTGCACGATGCGGAGAGAGCGCGAGCGAGGAAAGGTGAAGAGGCGAGAGGGTATGAAAGTGTGAAGGTGAGAGGGTGAGAGGGTGAGAGGATGAGCGTCTGTGACGGGGGAGTCGACCGGAGCAAAGAGTGGGACGGTGGACAAGTAATTGGGGTGGCCGGCGGTTGACGGGTAGCACGGCGTTGCGCGGTGATGCACGGTGATGCGGGAACAGCGGTGACGAGCGGGTGGTAACGAGAGAATTGGAGAGTTGATGCAGGGAGTCGCGCGCGATACGTCTACACAGGGTGGCAACTGGCAAATGGTTCGAGGCGGCACGGCGAGATAAGTAAAGAAAGTGGGATGAGGCAAGACAGGGTATGCGTGGTGAGCGGACGCGATAATTGAAAGGATACAGCGACAGGGGGTGTGAGGCACAGGCTAGGCGCACGCGAGGCGTAGGTGAGGCGGCAGGCGAGGATTGCGAGGGAAAGGCGACTGCAGATGGACGATAAGGGTGACGGTGACGGCGACTGAAGATGGAAGTTGGTCTGAGTTAACGTGAAGGCGAGTTCGAGCCCACAGGGAGTGGTAACGGTCAGTTTCGAGCAGGCAAGAGTGAAAAGAGAGGAAGTGAGGGAAGAGACGAAAGAAGGTCGAGAGCTACAGCGACTTGAGGGACACTCGCTCGAGTTTGGGTGGCCGGGCTCCTGAAAGCAAGGCGACGCGTCGTCAAACGGCAACTGAGTCTATTTCTTAGGCGCCTCTGAACTTGGCTTATAGTTCCCTAAACGAAATCGTTCAGTGGCAGCTGAACTCAAGAAAACGACTCCGCAATCTGAGTCTCGCGTGCGTCGTCAGTCCCGTCCAATCAGAACTTCCTGTCACTTTCCCTTCTGTTCTCTCTCCAGTACAACACTCTGCTGTGACGATGACCCTCTCAGTTCAGTGGCCTCTCTTCACAATCTGCAGAATTCACCACCCGCACTGCCTTCCTTCTCTGACAATGATCCCTCACTGACCTCGATACTCCCTCGGAACAAAATGAGTCGTGCAAGCAACACGTGCAACGGCTTCTTCTTGCGAAGTGCAACCTTGAGCCAAGCCAGCCACGCTCGCGGAGTGCCCGAGGAGGGAGACGGGTGTTGCGAGGGCGGTTTACTCCTAAAAGAAAACTTCTTGAAGTTGTACTTCAAGTACAGCACAGCTGCCCCTTCCCCTTGGAGAAATCGCCCTCGCGAGCTCATGAGCTTGCCTTGGAAAACCCGACAGCGCCGGGCAGCCGACAAACTACTCAAGGTTTCGTTATTGGTGTACGACGAATGTAGACCCCATGCGAAAGTCCGAGGTTCGCGTGCGAGGAAGTGCATTTTTTCGTTGGGGCTGGTTGTGGTGGTCGGGTAGTGGTGTAGTGGTGGTGAACTTTGTGACACGTCGTGAGTGCCGAAATCTACGAACCGCACCACTGAGAGGCTGCCACATGCACTCCACACGTGGAAAGCTTGGTCGGCGCTGTCATTTTCAACCCCCTAGCGGCCTGCCAGCCAATAACACATGACAGAGATTCGTCCGCCTTACCCATTCGGTCATCGGAGAAACGAAATAAACGCGCTGTTGCATGAGATGGTTTCTAACAAGGAGTCGATGCTGTGTCAAACGACAAAACAAGCCAACTACACCTACGATACTTCAATAGAAAAATCCTGCACAAGAATCTCCTGTGCTATAAAAGGTAAATCACAACTACACTCTTGAAATATAACCACTCCTAAGTGCTGGCTTGCTTGGAAGAAGGCTTATGGTGGCGACGCGACCGGTGAGAAGACTTGGACTTGGAAGAAGGCTTCTTGGCCTTCTTAGTGGGTGCCGAAAGGAGGCTGCAAAGTGAAAGAACACCACACCAGAAACACTTGCTGTGAAAAGATGCTAGGCGAAAAAATGTAGGGTTTGGCAGGCGAAAGGGGGAAGGGGAGGGGAAACTGGGGCATGAACATGGTAGATATGGAAGCAGGGAGCATGAGATGGGTACCTGGAGGCCGTGGAAGTGAGCTTGAACATGAGGAGCAGCGCAAGAATGTGCGCAGCAACGACCTGCACACACACTCACACACACATGCACGCACGCACGCACGCACACATCACACATATACACACACCAAATCAGTCACCCACACCCCATATGAAGAAAGCAAGCACGCACGCATGCGCACAGTCACACACACAAACACACCAACAGACACAAAGACAGCACCAGGGGAGTAAAAGGCTTGTTATAGCAGTCTGGGAAGGGTAGGATAGCCCACTACAGCATGTGTGATGTCAGCATCAACTACCAATACCATCACCTCACCATCACCATCACCATCACCCTAAACCCTGAGCCCCGGCAGCAATAACACGGGCACCAGCAGCAGCAGCAGCAGCAGCAACAGCAGCAGCAACATCCCCTGGCACCCCGTGACACGCACCATCCAGCAGAGCGTATTGTCAGGGAGAGCCTCCTCGGAGAAGAAGTCAGCAGCAGCAACCACCATGTCCTTCACCGCCGCGTTGTACCTCTCCCAGTGCGGCTGCAGCGGCTTTGCTGCTGCTGCTGCTGCTACCTTTGCCGTCGACAGGTGCGGGCCCAGCAGCACTTGCAGGGACTGGAAGGGCGCACATTAAAGGGGGCGGGGGGGGTGGGGGAAGATGAAACAGGGGGGTGAGAGGATGAAACGGTGCTGGGACCTTACTGGAAGGACGTAGCAGGGCAGCAGCGCAGCAGCGCAGGAAGGCAGCAGGGCAGCAGCACAGCAAGGCAGCGGGGCAGCAGCAAGGCAACGCACCTGCACATGAGGTTCCACGGCGGTCCATGTCTGGTTGATGTGCGGGGACAGCACGGAGTGCACCTGCCCGTACACCTCCCCGCCCTTCTCCCCCACCACTGCTGCCAGCGGCGCCAGCGCCACTCGTGCCTCCGCCACTGCCTTGCGCGCTACCGGCTGTACGAGGGGGAAGGGGGAAGGGGAAAGGGGAAAGGGGGAAGGGGAATGGGGGAAGGGTGAGGGCGAAAGGAGAAAGCGAAAAGGGAAGGGGGAAGGGGAGGGGAGGAAGAGGAAGCAAGCACGACCGAATAGGTGAGGGGGGGTTGGCGGAGGATACGGGGCACAGATGGAGGGAGATATATATTAAGGCAAGACTGAGGGAGAGCGTGTGAGAGTGTCGGAGTGAGAATGTGTGCGAGGAAGCATTAAAAAGAGAGGCAGGCGAAAGAGCGTGAGAAAGAGAGCACAGGAGAGCGTGTGTGAGAGCGTGTGTGAGAGCATGTGCGAGCATGTGAGAGGATGTGAGAGCATGTGAGAGCGCGATTGGGGGAAGGTAATCGGGGGGCAGTGCGCACCTGAGTCTGGGCATGCAGGCTGGTGAGGTGCGGGTGCAGGCTATCCTTAGCCGCCTGCATGCATTCACACACATGCATATACACACACATACACATGCACGGATACATGTGGGTGGATTATGGTGAATATAGGAATGGAGGGGTGTATACTCCGTTTCTATAGGAGAATGCGCAAGGAAGAAGAGGATGTGGACAGAGAGTCGCCGGACAATGACAACCACATGACATGCCTGTCTGGGCTAAGATCGCTCGTCTCCTCAATCCCATCCTAAGCTGATTGCCTGCCTGCCTGCCTGCCTGCGTGCGTGCATGTCTGTCCGCATGCATGCGTGCGTGCATATCGCCCGCACCTGGTAAGCGGCAGTGAGCTGGGGACCTACGGCGCCGCCCATCTGAGTGACCATACGTGTGATCTGCAACGGGGGAGTGGGTGAGAACAGGGCGACTTTTGAGTGGACTCAAAAGTGACTTAAAAGTGAGCTGGGGACCAACGGCGCGTCTGAGTGACCATGAGCGCGATTTGTAAGGGGAGTGGGGGTGAACAGAGCGGGGTTACAGGGAGGGCGTGGGGACAAAGAGAGGGGATGTTGATGGCGAGTGGGAGTTAAGACGTGAATGGTGGAGAACGGACTATTGAAGGACGATGTTGGAGAAGGGAGGGTGAGGGGAGGAAGAAGCGGGAGGAACGAAGTGGGATACAAGGGCGAAAGGAGTTTGTGTGATGGCGTTAAGAAGAAGCAGCCTGCCAAGGCACAGCATGACATGGCATGGCATGGCACGGGATGGCATGGCATGACATGGTATGGCAGAGGAAGCAATACCTCTGCGCGTACAGAAGCAATGGCTGGAAGAGCCTTGTCAGTCCACACAGAGACCACAGAGTCCTGCTCACACACACACGCACACAGCAGCTCGCAAGAACCATCAGCAACAGCCACAGCGACCACAGCAGCAACGGCAGCAGCAACAGCAGCAATCGCAACAGTCATGTACCAAGGGAGACTCAAAGGAAAGGTGAATAACACGGTACACGACACAAATACAGCAGGTGAACTGTGAAAGAAATTCCAAGCCACGGGGCCAACCACTTGAATCCCAAGTCACTGCGAATCCGACCTCAGCACGAATCACATTGTTGAAAAGCAGGTGGCCGCCGAGCCACAGCGGCAGGCAGCAGTTCCTACCGATGGGCCACACCACAGTGGCCTTTCTGCAGCCGGCTCAATGCATTCAGGCGGGTGGGGCTTTCACAGTGGCGCAAAGAGGCGAGGCGAGCACGGTCATTGCCGAGGGGTGGAACGCTTACCTTGGCGGAGAGCTGGTGGTCCTCGCGCCACGGCGGCAGCCACTCGCTAGTTATGCTCCTCCAAACCCGGTTCATTGTTGCGCGCGCAGCTTGTACGGCAGCGCAGCAGAGAGGCGAACAGGGCAGGTACAGAGGGTTGGGGGTCTCACTCACCTTGGCGGAGAGCAGGTGGTCCTCGAGCCACGGCTGCAGCCACTTGCTGGACACCTGCAGCGGACTCATTGCACACCCGCAGCTTTTACAACGGTGCAAAGAGGTACACAGGGCCGGTACCAAGGGGGGGGGTGTGGGGCTGACCTTGGCGGAGAGCAGGTGGTCCTCGAGCCACGGCGGCAGCCACTTGCTGGCCACCTGCAGCAGCTGCTCGTGCTTCGCCTCCACCTCCCTCTCCAGCCGCGCCAACGAGTCCTGGGGACGTGCAGGGGTAGGGAGAGAGATGCGCGCAGGGGGGACAAGGTTGAATTTTGGGCGTGAAGGGTGGGGGGTTGGTGGGGTGGTGGGGGACGGGGTCGTAGGAGTTGTGCGTGTGAGGATTGCAGATTGGGAATGCAAACTAGAAAGGGATGTGACTAAAGAGACGCCTACAGATTCAAATTTACTGGATACAATACGATGGGAGTGCACATTGCCAGGGGGGCTAGTGCCTGCTGGCAAAAGGTAGAGCAACAGCGAAAGTAGCTATTGAATGTTTTGATGTTTGTGATTGCATACTCGACTTTCCGAATCAACACTCTGCAGTGGCAAACCTGAAACCTTTCACAGCGACCCAAAAGATCCAAGATTGAATTTGGTATTAAAGAAAGAAAAGAAAAGAGATTCCCCCTCTTTTTCTTTGAAGCCCATATCATCTCTTCCACTCACTCGACTCAAAAGCGCCTTGCTGTCAGAAGCGGATGGGTGGGCTGCGGAGGCCTTATTTCCATCAACTCGTGCTATTTTAGGACAACGAGACAAACTCCATGGATTGATGGAAAGAGCCTGGTTACGCGCTAGCTTAGAGAGCCAGTATGGATCAAATCTTCACTATAGAATCAGAACATAGTGTAAAAAACTGTTTCCCCCTTCCTTTTTTTGAAGCCGATATCCTCTCTCCCACTCACTCGACTCACAGCGTCTTGCATGGCAACAGTCTAGAATGGCTTCTCCTCTCGAAATCCCCTCCCTGCCCTCCCGGCTCGCATTTCTCCTACCTTCGTAATCCTCAAACCTCGTACAAGTGCGGTTCAGCTTACTTTGCATTTCTGTCAGTGAGTCACCAACAGCGTAACTTAACCCCTTCCTATCGTTCCCCTTCTTCCTCTCCTTTCTCTCCCACCTCTCCTTGCAAGCTGCAAGAAACGATGTACTCAACAAACCCTTCCAACCGAGACAACTTGATCCAAACCGGATCGAACCGAAGTGTAACATGTACTCCTAACCCTAAACCTCTAAGCAGGAGACCATGATCTGCCTTCTGCCTTCACACGGCAGACTCCGGACACAACTGCTGCAAAACCCCTCAAAACCCACCTAGCCAAAACCGAACAGCACCAACCCGAACCGATCCAAAAGCCAAACCAGACGACCTGAACCGAACCGTACCGTGGTCTCCTTGAGAAGGGTGTTGGAGCGGGTGAGCTTGCTCTGGCACTCCAACGCGTCCTTGCCCACGGCCTTGACCTTGACCGCCTCGGACTGCGCAGCCTTGAGATCCTCCTGCACTCCCTTGAGCTTCTCCTTGGCCGCCTTCACCTCGCCCCTCAAAAACCACCTGGTCGAAACCGAACCGAACCTCGCCATGCCGAACCGAACCAGTTGATTTACCAACCTAACCGAATACAACCGAACCGAGCCGTACCGTGGTCTCCTTGAGAAGGGTGTTGGAGCGGGTGAGCTTGCTCTGGCACTCGGACGCGTCCTTTCCAACGGCCTTGACCTTGACCGCCTCGGCCTGCGCAGCCTTGAGATCCTCCTGCACTCCCTTGAGCTTCTCCTTGGTCGCCTTCACCTCGCCCTTAGCTGCCTCCAACTCGCTCTTGAGCGTCGCCGCCTGCTGCTCCGCCTGTTTCGCCTGCGCCTCTGCTCCGGAACGGGGGAGGGGAATGGGGGGAGAGGCGGGGAGAGGTGGGTGAATGCGGGCGTAAGATGAGGGAGGGGAGAAGGGACGAGTCGTTTTCGGACGAAAAGAAGGGAAGGTAAAGAAGAAGAGGAGGAAGAGGAGAAGGAAGACGAAGTGAAGAGCAGGGAGTAGGGGTGACTCACCTTTGGACGAGATCTGCTTCTGCAGAGTCTGCTGCTGCGCCTTGCTGTCCGCCACTTGCCCCTCCAGCGCCTTCACTTTCTCCTTCAACGCGCGCAACTCGCCGCCTGCATTATCACACACACAGATGCATCACACACACGCGCGCGCGCACACACACACGACATAGAGAGAGGGAGAGAGGGTGTGCAGTGAGTGGCATGGCGGCAGAGAGATCAGACGGCGAAGTCCGCATGCCGCTTGTCCAATCGTCCGCACATCGCTTGCCCGGCGTCGTGCTCTATGGTTTGATCCGAGCTACTACCGAAGAGGAGATGACAAACGACGATGACAAGAGAGATTCGACCAGATCCGCCAGGTCGGATCATGCCTACCACACTGCTGCTCCCAATGCTCCCAATTCCTTCAATCATTGAGTTGTGCTCGCGGTGGACTTACACGAATTCGCGTCGAATCTCCTCTCCTACATGACTCTGCATGGCGAGAGACGCGCAGTGCAATCTGTCTCTCTCCACCTACCCTCTACTCACCCTCTTCCTGTGAATGGAGATCAAGGCGTGGACTTGCGAGGACAGCGAACGGGCATCGCAGATCGTCGGATCGGCTTGTGAGGAACACTCAGAGGAAAACGAATCTCTCACCCACATCGAATCAGATCTAATAGTATCTTATGAATCCGATCGGACGGCTCAGATCTATGGAACTCGAAGTGGTACGCAAGTGAATTCTGCTAGAAGAGGCTAAGCTGATGGAATTGCAGAATCGGATTGATTTCTCTCTCACTGCATGCCAACGGATTCGACCCTTCATACTGAGATCCACTCGACCCAACCGGCCATGTAAGTGTTAAATCCCGGATCCCGAATCCTCCGAATCGTCGACTCACCACCATACTTGGAAGCGTGTTAGAACCCTTCAGTGTTACCTAAAACTTGTGAAAACTGAGGTATTGACTCACCATGATCACCCGCCTTCTTCTCCGCGGCTTGTGCCTTGCTCTTCAGATCTGCCACGTCAGCACGGAGCTTCCCCGCCTCCGCCTCGCACGCGCGCGTCTTCTCCCCCACGGCTTTCGCCTCCGCGCGCACACCCGCCACCGCCGACTCCGCGGAGTCCGCGCGCGTCTTCGTCGCCGCAAGCTCCGCCTTCACCTTGGTCACGAGATCCTCGCATCGCGCCTTGCCTTCGCGCTCCGCGACGCACGCATCAGCGTCGGCAGCAGCGAGATCGACGAGGCAGATCGAGGAGACGATGAGCCACGAGCAGATCACGAGGGAGGCCCATCTAGCCGTTGGAACCAATCGCTGCGTCATGATTGGTGGATTAAACGGATCGCCACCAAGGCTTGAATCTAGATTCAGCTTGTCGCCAATCCCAGACACGTCCGACAGTAAGATCTACACAACCGAACACAGCCAGCGCACGATCTGTACGAATGAAGCAAGCTCTGACCAGTGCTGCACGCTACCAGAATTTCGGATATCACGCTACCCACTTCTCTCAGGTCAGGATGCAGTCAGTCAGCAGGGAGAATTCGGGAGAATCGGGATGTGCTTCCCCTTCACCTCTCCCAACCACTTCCACTCCTGGAATTTGGGATGTTCAGGCGGAATCCTCACAATCGGGAATGTCAGAGAACTGGGAGCGGTGAGATGTGACCGTCAGATCCGAATCTGGACGGTGAAGATTGAGCAGAAGTTGAGAAGTAGGAGAAAGGGAGACACTTGATTGGAGATTTGTTTCAAAACGACGTGGTGATCGTGCAGGGAAGACTATATGCGAGTGACGCAGAGGCGGTCGGGCAGGAATAGATCGTCAATCGCAATAACTGTCGCATGCAGGCTGGTAACCTCATGGGAGATCGATCGACGGATGAAATTCATTCTGGAAAGAAATGACAGATTGAGCTGGACATTGTATCTGTGGAATGTGGACAATTTTTTTGCTGCTCTTTCGTGTACACACGCCTGACCAGTTCGGTTTCCCTTATGTTATAAACCAATCACAATTCCTGTTATAAGCAAATGACAATGTATCGCATGGTCAAGGCAGCCCAATACAACCACAAGCTACAAGTATTGGTATTCCACCACAAGGTTAACATGGCAGCAATCTACATCAAAGAGTATTTGCTGCCACAAGAGAGAGAACTAGTTGCAAAACACTACCATCAACTGAAAAGATCGGACTACTGTACCTACTCATGAATCTGTACAAGGCTAGAAGACCAGCACCAGCTGTACAACCAAAATGGTGCTCCACTTGAACTGGCTATACAGTGGCGAATAACCTACCGGAAATGAAGGGAACAACCGCCTTTGAGCTTCAACTGGATATGTACAAGAAGCGGGTGTCTGCATCTATATGAACGTCTCTGCCGTCCTTTGCCTTCCTGTAAGAAAACGAGGAAATTGAAGAGGGAAATTCAGGTCACCTACTGGATTCATGGTAATCTCACCAACTTGACAGGCAGTGACTGACATGACAGGCACCAAGGGCCACACTCAGCCCAACATGATACCACCAACAACCACCAACTTTGTCCCCTCCACATGCACTCAATCACACACAAACCACACCCACACCCCCTCCCAACCACAGCAAACCCTACTGACCGCCTCAAATCCCGCCTTCCCCCCCCCCCCCACCCACCCCCCCTTCCCAGAACGCACCTCCCGTCGCGCCTCCTCCCCATCATCCTCCCCACCATCAGCCCCGGGAAGCAGCAGCAGCAGGTGGGGGTCCCGCGCAGCAGTGCTCATACGGGGGGGGCGGCGCAGCAAGCGAGTCGTAGAGAGACCCCCACCCAACCCCCGCTCTACATCCCCCAACACCCCGGCCCCCAAAACGCACCTCCCGTCGCCACCCCTCCTCCCCATCAGCCCCGGGAAGCAGCAGAAGCAGGAGGAGGCGGTCCAGCGCAGCAGTGCTCATACGGCGGGGGCGGCGCAGCAAGCGAGTCGTAGAGATCCCTCAAAGCGTCGTAGAGTGGGCGGGCGGCGGTGGGCTGGGCGATGCGGCCAAAGAGGATGTCGGTGGTGGAGACGGGCATGCCGTAGAAGCGCCGGTTCACCGATGAGCATGACGCCACCACGCTGGATTCCCACGACATGCCCACAAACGCCCCTGGGGAATGGGAGGGTGGCGAGCGAGAGCAGGGGCGGGCGGGCGAGGGGGAGCAGAAGGGGGATGGGGAGGGGGAGGCGGAGGGGTATGCGTAAGGGATGGGGAGAGGGATGGGGATGGGGATGGGTATTGGGATGGGGATGGGGATGCGGATGGGGAGGGGGGTCGGGATGGGGATGGATATGGGATGAGGGGGGGCAAAGTGAAGGATAATCAGTGGGCGTCCAAGAGGCAAAGGGTGGGCCGGGGAGGGAGCGAGGGATGGGGTGCTGCGGGGAAGGAAAGCGGCGCAAAATGCGGGCGCTTACAGGCTTGACAGAGATATGAACACCACGAGCACACATACTTGTGCTGCAGCAAAACGTGTTTCCTTTCAGGCGCCTGAAAACACACCACTCAGCACGCTGCAGCAGCAGCATACACCCACTCTTGCTGCAGCTGTACGTGTAGCACGTGGAGAAGCCCGTGCCACCCGCCCGCACGTCGAGTTTCGAGACGTCTCTCAAGACTCTATGCAGCAGCCAGCACCCACCCACACTCACCCTTGCTGCAGCTGTACGTGTAGCACGTGGAGAAGCCCGTGCCACCAGCCTGCATGCATGATTGCAGCAGCAAAGATAGCACTGCATGTAAGCAGCAGCAGCAGCAGCAGCAGCAGCAGCAGCAGCAACCACACTCACCCTTGCTGCAGCTGTACGTGTAGCACGTGGAAAAGCCTGTGCCGCCCGCCCGCACATCCGCCTCCACAGCGCGCCCCACGGGCCCGGCAGCAGCGCTGGCAGAGGCGCCCACAGCCACGTGGTAGCGGCTGCAGAAGGCCTTCATGGCCTCCAGGCTGCGAATCACCACTATCAGATCCGCTATCTCGCCGCCCATCTGAGGTGGTTTGTGGGAACGGCAGGGGAGGGATGGGGTTGGAGGTCAAGAAGGTGTGCTAAGGAGGACAGTTGGCGCGGCTGCAGAAGGCCTTCGTGGCCTCGAGACTGCGGATCACCACTATCAGATCCGCGATCTCACCGCCCATCTGAGGAGGCGCGAACAAAAGGGAGGAGGGAGAGGGTCGAGGGATGCATGAGAAACTCAAGGCGGGGTTGAGAAATGGTTTGGGTGGGGAGGGATCGCAGATTGCATGAGCAAGGAGGTTGAGAAGGACGGTTGCGCCTCAAACGCCCTTGGGTGAAAAGGACGACGGAGGTTGATGGTGAGAGAGAGACAGGGAGATGCCATTTGCTCCCCACAACGCCCACACCAAAACTCGCCTTCCCTCCGTGCCAATCCACCATCAATCCAAGAAAAAACATTGCCCCAGGCACCCCACACACCCCACCAACATATCCCTCCACCTCCCCACCCTCCATTCCAAATCGCCACTTCTCCAATCCTTTCCCCCTTCCCCCGTCAACATCTCCCCCTTCACCCCCATCCCTTCATCCTACATCCCCCCCCTCCCCTTACTCCCTCCCCCCCCCCACCCTGCACCCCCTCCCCCCCACTGTCCACCGCACCTGTGCGCCCCAGCCCATGCCGGCAGTGGCGATAGCAGACGGTGCGCTCCACTGGCGGTCGGGCTTGAGGCACACCACCAGCCCCGTGCCCACCCGGTACGTCACCCCCACGCCCGCCTTCCCCCTCCCACTCCCCCACGCCCCAAAATCATCCCCCCTCAACGCCAACCCCCACCGTACCCTGAAAACCATTGCCCCAGCCACCACCCCACCAACACACCCCAAACCTCCCCCTCCCCCTCCCCACTCCTTCCAACCGCAGTCCTCCCCCCCTCTGTCCCCCGCACCTGTGCGCCCCAGCCCATGCCAGCAGTAGCAATAGCAGACGGTGCGCTCCACTGGCGGTCGGGCTTGAGGCACACCACAAGCCCTGTGCCCACACGGTACGTCACCCCCACACCCGCCTTGGCCACCGTCAGAATCGCCAGCCCCACTGCGCCCCCCAGCACAGCTCCTGGGATTGACCGCTCTGGGTTCAGCCTCCCCACCTGGAGGGGGGAACACAGGGAAGGTATACGGGGGGAGGGATGGGAGGAGAGGGGAGGCGAGGGGAGGAGAGGAGAGGAGAGGGGTGGAGAGGGGAGGAGAGGAGAGGAGAGGGGTGGAGGCTTTGGGACTGAAAAACGGGCCACCAGAGTGCAGATTCGCTTGTCTCTCGGCTCCTGCGGCTTCCAGAACAGAACAAGTACGAGGGATAGGGAGCGAGGGCGAGAGTTGCCCCCCCTTGCTCGCCTACACACAGGGAAAACACCAAACGACAACCCCCCTGCTCGCCCCCGAAAAGAAACACAGCAGCCAGCCGGCAAGCACGTGGAGCTAGTGACTTGACTCGTACGATTCCTCGCTCGCACGCACGCACGCACCTGCGAGTACCCCCGGAGCGTGTTCGTGGCCTTGAAAATCTCCTCCTGGAGGCTCCACGCGAGGGGGTTATTCACCCACGCGCGCACGCTCGTGGCGTCCGTCACATCGTGCAGCGCCCGCTGCGCTGCGCCAGCAACTGTGACCACGAGCTGTGGCTGTAGTGGCTCCAGCTGGTCGTAGCAGCGCTCGCACACGCGCTGAGGCTCGGATTCCCGGAAGAGCGGAGGGAGCAGGCACGTGCGCGCGCTGCAGCTGTGGCAGAGCAGTAGGCCGCAGAACCTGGGGTGGTGAGGGACGTTGGCGTGAGGAGGGGCGGGAGGGGAGGGGAAGGGAGGCGGAGAGAGCAGGAGGGAAGCTAAGGTAATGGTGAAATGAGAGAAGCTGAGGGGGGAAATGGCGGATGGGAGGAAGCAAGATAGGGGAACAAGAGAAGCGAGCAATGGGATGACAAGGGTGACGGAAAGAGAGAAGGCGGGGAAGGGGGGGAGGGGGGACGGGGGGAGGAGGAGAAGGTGTGGGAGGGGGTGTGGTTCAGGGGGAAGGGGAGGAGTGAGAGACAAGGCAGGGAGTTAGGTGATGGGGAGAGAGAGGGGAAAGCGCGGGCGGGGGCACAAACACGCAGTAGATTCGACAGGTGGCGGCGGGGAATGAGAGAAGAAAGCAGCAGCAGCAGCACCATCACCACGGACCTGCAGTGGTGTCTGGTGCGCACGAGAGGCCGGAACGGTTCCTCACACACCATGCACCTCGTGGACCCGCTGTCCGGCACCCACTCGGGCGGCAGTGCCGCCCACAGCTCATCAAAAGTCCTTCCCCCT